CTTGGGATGCATACTAGGAAAGAGCTGCTATTCCTTTTCCCAAATCTTTGCCCAAAAGACCCTAAATTTCAAAGTTAAAATAATTCCAAAGGAAGGGGGTTATAGTCTCCATTCCAAGAGATGTTCCTGCCTTCCTCGGCTGACACCAAGGCAGACACCTTGGCAGACACTTGCTTTTCAAACCAGGACAAGGTGAAAGCTCTGGTTGAGACACAAAAAGCGATTCAAGAAGTGCTTCAAAAGGACAGGAACGACACAGTCCTCCTCATTTCCTTGCTAAGAAGCAACTCTGGGCACTGATGAACTCTTAGGGACAATGAACACACACACCCCTCAGCGTTCTCCATCCAAAAAAGATCAGTGTTACTTTACACCTCTGCAGAGCTGTGCATGCCAGGACATCCTCTCCATTTCCACAGCATTTTAGTTCACAGCAACTATCAAGAATTGGCAAATTTCCCAGATTCCCTTGGTTTCTCTCATGAGTGACCCTCATCTTTACTTTCCTGCAGGCGAGAACATCAGTCATCTACTGCTCTTGGAAACAGATGCAAAGGGAATGTGGCAGAGAGCTTGAAGGAAAAATGCAACCTCCCCACAAGAAGTAAGCTGGCATGAAGTTTCCAGCTGACAGCTCTGGGAGAAATTTCAACTATGGAATGTATAAACAAGGGATTAAGCTGGCCATAGAGAGGGGGAGGGAAATGTTGTGCAAAATGAACTTATGTCCTTAGTATTTCTGCTGTAAGAAACAGCAGAGGAAGACTTAGGGGAACATCTGAGGCATCAAGAGGCTTAAATGCAGGACAGAGGTGTCCTGACAGGGTTACAGGCAGGGGACAGGTTTTTGATGGCAGCTGGAATGACCTTCAAGATGTGATAGGGACATCCCTGTGTGATACCAGGGAAGAACACCCATAGGAGTGGTGTGTGGTGCAGAGCTGTGGGGCAGTCTCTACCCCTGATTTTAAGAGCTCAACAGGAAAATGCCCTGAACCACTTTATAAAGCTTTGGAGTATACTCCACTTGGAGCCAGGAGTTTGGATTCCCTTTGGAGGCATTCTGAGCCCATGGGTTTTAGAGGTGTTACTAAAACCCGATGTTACACACAGACTTGCTTAACAAATTTATAGAAACAAAATCAAGAAAAAGAAAAAAGCAGCTGCAGAGCATTGTCCAAAAGGGTTTGAGAATGAAAAATCTATTTTACTGGCACTTAAAAGTTCTTGGCTTTCTCTTCCTAGCAAAAAACCTTGGTAGAAGATCAAAACAATTAAATGCATTAAAAAACAAGAGTTAAAATTGGAAATGGGAAGTTTCACAGAAAAGAGGGGAAAAAGACCAAACCTCAAAACAATTGCACTTTCCTAACATGGGAGAAGTAGGAAATCAAACTGTGCCAGAAAGCTCAAGAACTATGTAAGAACAGTTAGCCCCATCCTGGTGCCCTCTGGGTGTCCAAAATTAAAGCCTGTGGGCAGCAGCAGCTCTGAACTGCAATGTAACAAAATCTCCTTCTTTAGAATGTCTGCTGTCTCCTGGGAAGGACAAAGACTTCTTTCACCTTAATAAAAAATGCATCTTCTCTGGATTATTTTCATCAGAAACTGCAGTGTATCATCACAACTAATAAATCTTCAGTATGTGTGAGGAAATGGAGACTGGTGGAGCCTGTTCCTTTGCCTAAGGAATGCTGCCCCTTTGTGCAGGAGGGTCTATGAAGAGAGGGGAATACTCCTTACCTTTATTTATTGTGGGATGTCAGGCCCAGATTCGGGATGGAAGCAGTCTCACCATGTGCTGTGATAGGCGCCTGTAATTCAGGTAATAAGCAAAAGCCTTCCCCCTCTTCTGTGGTGTATAGAAACTTGGGAGTTATTCAGGACTATAAACAATTAGTGCCAAAGATTTTTGGTGCAACAGATTTTTAATTTGGAAGGGTTTGCTGCAAGATGTCTATTACACATCCAGGTGTCAATCTCTAGGGTCCATTCCACCTACCTCCCTGATAGTGGGTACCTCTTGCTTTACACCATGTTTACAACCATCTGGCTTGCAGGGGACTCCAGTTTCCGAACGTGAGTCCACAGACACTTTGTCTTAGCAGGCCTGCGAAGCTGCTGGCCAGCTGACAAACTCTGACCAAGTCCCCTTGGCCACAAGTGGCTCACCAGGAGTTGGCTGCAGCTGAAGGATAAGGGAGAGGTGTTTTCCTTGCTGCAGGCACAGGGCCAGATGCCAATCAGCGGTGTAGGGCTCCAAAGGCTCCAAATAGCCTCTCTCTAATAATTAGAAATCTCTAATAATAAAATTACCTGGTAGAGCAAATTGAGCAAAGCAACACAAAACTGGGGGGGTGAAAATAGAACAGGGGTCACTTTATTGTCAGGTGGATGAGGAGTTGTTCTGATGCTGTAATTATGTCTCAAAGAAACAGCAGCAGAAGTGAGTGATAAAGTGACTGCAAGCAGAAAACCCAAACGCCAGCATTCTTCCTCTGACTGTGAGCAGTCCAGGAGGTGATCCTCTTCTACAAGGACCTCAGCCTCTTGGCTATTACCATGGTGGCAGTTTCACCCACTTGCAGCAACCTCCTGTTCAGGAAGCTAACTGCAGGTGCCAGTGCCAATTTCCGAGTTCCACCAACGTTCCATCCCCTCTACTCACATTCACGCAAGGACATCTCCTTTCTATAGCTCCAATTCAGGGCTTGGCTTTCTCTACCTCAAGTTCAGTATCTTCCACAAAAAAAGCCTGACCCCCTCTGCCACTACTCAAGGCTTATTTTTTAATTGCTGCCAGCTTCTTGCTGGAGAACCAGTAAGCTAAGCAGGGTGCTCCGAGCTCCCAGGTTTAGCACATGAATATACTTGAGTTGCAAAAGCGATACTCACACTTCTACATCACTAAAACCAGCCATTGTAACAGGCACAGTTCCCATTTCTTTTAAAAATAAATATTTATAAACAAAAGAAAGAGATTCAGAGAACTACAAAGTTAAAAATTTTCCTGCCAACAGCACAAATGCTTCTCATGTACAGTCACAGGAACAAGTTGTACACCAACATGAGCGCTGTCTAAAAAACTCTCTCCTCATCAGCTGCCTCAGTCCACCTGCACATCTCCCTCTGCAGCAGCCACCTCTTCTGCACTTCTCCACGACTTGTGCTGGAGCTGCTCAGTCACCTTTCATGATCAAGTCCTCAATATATGCATCCAGTTCATCATCTGTATTAATATCAATGTCCTGAAACCAAAGCAACAAGGAATACCAGTGAGAAGTTAATACTGAGGAACAGCACAAGAAAAGAGGAGCCAGAGCAGCTTAGCACCCTCTGTTATGTCCGGCCTGCTCAACTTCTATGCCCCAACCTCCAGCACCCTCCAGCTACTGACAGCTTGCAGTGACAACACCCCTAGCTTTCCCTGTCAGCATCCGAAAGACAACACAGGAAACCCATCAGCACCAGATGCTCAAACAACACACTCAAGTGATGGATCCACTGTACTGATTGTGGTCGAGGAAGATTTGGTTGGGGGCTCTTTTAGATTTAACACATTTTCCTAACAGGGTGAAACTGCTTTCAGATGCTTTCAGTAGCCTTTACAGGTTGATCCTGATTTTATTAAAGTAGTTTTTTAGTTTAGAGTTAGTTTATTTATTTAAATGTTTTAATTATATATTTTCTATTTTAATTTAATAGTATAACTAATATATCAATTTCACCACAACACTTTTTCATGTTGTTTGTTTAAAGGTTTGCATTTCTATATGTGGAGTTCAGAATCTGCCCAGGAATGTGGCAAAAATTCCCTGATGAGCACTGCCTACACCTGGGGAAATTCTCAAGCAGCCTCACAGCAGAGAACAAACAGAATCTGTGCATAATATACACACCATGAGAAATCATTCTCATGTGAGAATTAACACACATCAGACTCTCAGAGCCTGGATCCCAAGTGTGGGCAGTGACAGCCAAGCTGTTCCGAGCTGAGGAAGTTGGAGCCCAGTGAGACACTGGAGTGAAACACTTGTAATGCTTGGAGGGGATGAGCCAGGTGGCTACTCTGAGACAGCTCAGGGTTTGCTGCTACTCCTCACCCACCTCCTGCACTTTCTGCAGAAGGGCCATGATATTAGTCCTCAACTTCTGCAGTTTCTCCTCTGTTTCCCTCAGCTTCCTTTCTAAGTTCCGCAGGTTTTCCTCAGAGGCTTTGGCCCGGGCATCGGCACGTGTCTGATATGAATTGCACAGGTTCTGCAGACCCACCTCATACTGCTTAAAATACTCTTTCTGTAGTAGACAAAACACAAGATGTCACATTGAGAGAAAGCATCAAGCATCAACAAAACATGAGCATTCACAGGCTGTAGAAGATCCAAACTCCTGGCCCCCATAATCAAATCCTCCCTGCAGCGTGCCTCTGCACACTCTGCCCACGCTTGTACTTACATCTGATTTGCCTACACCAGCCAGCACAGAATTCACACAGCTTTTCACATTCTTCCAGTACCAGAACTGCCCCCAAAGCTGCTTGAATTTAGATTAAGGGTGCAGTGTACTTTAAAAAGCATGAACCCACAGGTATGGTTGCAGGCCTGACATGCCCTGTAAATTCTAAGTATCCTTGGTACAGATCACCCAGACATCATAGCCTCCCACTGCAAGGTAGGGACAGCTACACTAACCAAAAGCCTCAGACACAACCAAGGTGTCCTACAGAAGAAGCAGGAACAGTAACTCCAGCAAATGCCAGCAGATGCCTGAGTTAACAGAAGAGGAGGAGATGAGACTGCCAATACACACACTTCGAGTCTGGAAGTGCAAAACAGAACAGGCTTTGGCCATGTGCTCATCTGCAGGTGGCTTTTTACATGTGCCTCCTTGGAAAGGTCACTCTTGGTGGTATGCTGGAGAAGGAAAAAGTAAGAGAGGCCAGTTCCCTTGCCCTGCATTGCAGCCAGCACTGGTACCAGGTAACATTCCTCCCAGTACCAGGCTGCTGGTGGAAGCTCAGTCCCACCTGTCCTCAAATAAACAGAAGTCAAAAGTCTTATGGTGTGCAGCTGACTTGCTGGCAGTCAACCTGTTCTCCCAGGGAAGTGGGAAGGGGTTTACTTCAATGTTCTCTCACACTAAAGTAAAATGGCCTATAAAGGGATTGAACCCCCACTAACGCTGCAGGCTCAAACCCTGTATGCGCCATTTACCTAAGAGTTGGACTCAATGAGTTTTGTGTCTTCCTTCCAATTCAGAATATTCTGTGAATCTGGGGATAATTATTTGTTATTAATTTATAATTTTTAAGATTGTCTCCAGATAAGTTATAAGGCTTATAAGTTATAAGTTTAATAGCAATGGTTAAGAATTTAAGATAGTAGCAGCCAACAGCATTCCCACACACATGTATGGTAATTAAAAACATCCTCAGACAACTCTTACAAGACTCAAGGCATCTCTCAGAGGTCTCATTCTTTTCCTCAGCTATGTTAGTCTGCCAAGGATCCAAATTATTTTTTCAAGAGTGCACTCCCGCATTAGCAAGACGCACATTTGCCATAAGAAAGGAATATGTGTGGGGAAAACACATAAACTTACTTTTCTAGAAGTACTGAACTCACCAAGGGAAATGCCAACAACCCTTCTGAGCTCATGGAACTCAGCTCATTCTTGGAGATTGGAAAACTTGGAGGCAAGAAGTATCGCAAACAATTCCTGTGCAGGAAAACAAAATGCAAAGCCAGAGCTGGTAGTTTAACAGACTGAAGCAATCAGACTGCAGAGCTCACAAGATCTGCAGTGAACCCACCTAAGGATCTGGACTAGTAAGTCAACTGTTTCTTGGCTGCTGCTGGGACCAGTGGTGTCAGGCTCAATTCTGATGCAATCCGAGGTAGAAGGTTCAGCCATGACTGCGTCCTCTTCCTGCTGTGTGTCTGGAGCCTGGTACTCAGGAGAGGGAGGCTTCATAAGCCTTACATCCTCACTGCCCTTCTCTACCCTGAGGAAAAGTATTAAGGGAATGTCAGGAATCTTTTTTACATTGGACATACCTGAAACACAGTTAACGGTTTCATCAAAATCTGTACCCAAGTGTCACACAGACTTCTAGACACACAACAGCTGCCTCCAGGGCAGGCATCAGAGTGACAGACTGATGGAGTCTGTAATGACCATTCCTTATGTAGCCCTGGACAGTCTTGACCTCACATGTTTCCTGACATGACAACAGCGTATTTGTCTTCAGGATCTATGGCAATAAAACAGGCCCTTCCTCCCAAAAAAAACCCCAAGCCTCCACAATTCAGTAGCTCTAGATAGTTACCAGCGATCCCTTGGTGTGGTGTCTGTAGGGACATAATCAAACTTCACCTTCCACCGGATTGCATGCCTGACCCTTTCCACAGCTGTGACACGGCCTGTGAACCATTCCTTGTTCACACGCACTTCCACGTGCAGCCCTTTATCTGTGAGGGGGAAGCAAAGGTGTTTGTAAACATTCAGGTGCTGGAAAGCACATTCTACAGGGGCTCTAGAGATTCAGGGACCTCAGCAGGGAGAACACCTGAACCTGTGACAATGCCCTCAAGCAGTACGGACACCATCAAAACACAACGGGCACACAGGTCAGCTCCTGCTGAGAAACATGAAGATGCATGGAAATGAGCTGGCAATTCCGGATGGAAGGTTTCTCCTGTACTCCAAGCTGTTTGACATTGGCTTTATAGTCTCATGATGGGCACTAGGACAATTTGCCACATGTCCCTAGTGGGCCACTTTTCAGACAGCTCCCTGGAAGCATGCTGAAAAGATGCCCTGCTCTGGCAGATGGTGCAGTACCACCCCAGCTATCACCTTTCCTGGGGTCTCCCAGTCACTCTTCTCTCACAGCAGTGCAGATCTGGATAGAGTCCTGAGATTTTCCAGCTAGCATGGCTGCATGATCCACTCAGGATAGGTGAACATGCCATCAGCTACACCCTGCAGCCCAGCCCCACTCCTGACAACATCACATAACCATCAATCACAGACCTTTCCATTCCACAATTGCCACTGGTCTAATCAAAGGGTTCTCAGCCAAAATTTTTCAAGTTAGAGTAATCTTGGCGTTCGGAGTTCAAATCTACACTATTTTTTATTTTAAAATCTCACTGATGAAAGCACACATTTAACTTGTACAACAGTTCTTTTTTACGTCAGATACTGGCTTATTTCTCACCTTTCTGTGCTTTCTTCAGTTCCAACAACTCTTCCTCTCCAGCACTGTCTGTGAGCTGGGAGCAGAGAGAGCTCAAATTAGCCACCTCCCATCAAGATTATAAACACCTGACAAATATCTTCTGCTGGGGAAACCAGCTCACTCTTACCTCCACCAGCACACTCTTACCTCCACCACCACCTCATTGGAATCCTTCTCTTCTTTCACTGCCAAAAATTTTCCTCGTTTTGTCCTCTCCTTTTTGGGCTCACCCTCCTCCTCAGACCCATCCTCTGGGATGTTCGAGGCCCTCTTTCGAGTGCTGGAAGCCTGAAGGAAGCAAACAAGCTCTAGCTATTAATTCCAGCCTGCTTCCAACCAAAACCTTCTTGCAGCCAAGTTAAAAAAAAAAAACAAAAAACACCAACCCCCCAGAAAAAAACCCAACACTCAGTATTTTATTTGGTAGTTAATGAGCTTTTCTGGAAGGTTTTAGAGGTGGTATATCATCATGCAAACACTCATCCCACCACCCCATGCACTTTTTTTTCCCTGGGGAAACAATCTGGTCTAACAGGAAAGAGATGAGACCAGTCTTCTCAAGGAGTGTAAATGACACCCTAACCCAAGAGTAAAGTAGAAGTTCTCTTGTCCTGTGCAGTGCCCACAGTGCACATATCACAATACAGAACAGACAGGCTTACAGGACAGTGGGTGAGGAGCTGAGGGGTTTCATCCCATTGATTCTTACCTGTAAACATTTGCCAGAAGCAGATTTCCTTACTACTGGCACCTTGGCTGCTTTTGGATTGGGTGTCTCACGTGAGCTTTTGGGACTCTGTTGGCCAGAGAGCGACTTCAGGCTTGTACCTGGCTTGGCAAGAGTTTTTAAAGTGCTGTTAGACTTCCCAGCTGTCACAGTGTGATGGTGTGTCCTGGAAGTGCTGGCCTCCTCCTTGAAGAGCATGCTTGCTAGCTTGGGGGAGCTGTTATTTGGACGATCTGAAGACCTTTTTCTCAACTGAGTGCAGGACTTGTGAGGAGGTGAAGATCCTGGTGGCCTGCTGGGAGCATTCTTGATTACATCAGGCAAAGGAGGAGATCGTGGGCGCTGAGATCGGGTGTGCTGAAACAAAGGAGGGTAGAGAGAGAGGAAGGGTAGAAGAGTGGGGAACTGCTGTTCAGAACAGCTAAGGAAGCACAAAAGCGTAAAAAGCCCACAGTATGATCCCATTTACCTCCCTTGAAGGCCGTGTAGTCACTTCCAGAGGTAGTTTCTTTAAGTCAGCCTGAGATAGAATTGGAGTGGTTTTCTACAAAAAACAACAACAAAAAAAGAAAAATTTGAAAAAAAGAAAAAAACTCCAAAGACAAAACCAACCAACCAAACAAAAACCCAAAACCAAACAAAAACAAAACAAAACCAAAAAAAAAAACCCCAGATTAGAAAGTTCATGTTTACAAGCTGTCAAGGGCTGCCTGAACCCATTCCAGCAGTTTTCCAGGCTAAACCAAACAATTATATGGTGTGTTTTGTGTTCTTCAAGAGATATTCCTTCAGCTGTTGTTTCCATTTTCCCAACAGAAAATTAAATGCAAGATGAGATGATCAATTTCTGTTGTTATAACAGCCCCAGCCCTATGAAAGAGCATAGATAGTTTCAGACTCAGCAGCAGCCCTTTGCACAGGGAAAGGGCTGCTGCTGAGTCACTCCTGCTCTGCTTAGCTGGAGACCTCCAGACTCACCTGCAGAGCTTCCAGCTTTTTCTGCTGCTGGCGGATTTTCTCTGTCAGTTGTTTCTGCTTTTCCTCATTTGATTTCAAGTCTTTTTTTAGACTTCCCAGTGGTACCTTCTGCTTCTGCTCTGCAGCCTCACATCTAGAATGGAGGGAATGCAAGACACCCTCAGTAAGGACAGCAGAACTTGTATCATCTCATGCAGGTTTATCCTAACATACCATTCCAAAGGCAGCAGGAAAGCCACCTGCCTTTCTGCAGCAGTCGCAATCTCAAAAGCAGTGGTTTTCATCTTGGAAAAGAGATATGAATTAAGGATCAAAAGCACAGTTGCTAATAAAAAGGCATTTATGCTGGAAATCACCAATTCAGAGCCCAGGAACTGTGACAGTTGTGACAGCTTCTGTACTGCATCTGTACTCCAGACTTTTTCAGCAATTTTCCTTCCTATCAGCTTATTTCTTCATATCAGTTCTTCTTTCTACATACTTTTTTCCCTTCATAAAGGAAAGCACAGTACCAGAAACCCACAACTAAGACATTACCACAAGCCTTCCAGTCCCAGATGCCTTCTGCCTTGCCATTTAAGGCCAGGCAGTGTCCTTTGCAATATCCTGTAGCTATTTGCTTTGTCCTTTGCTTTCCTGTAGCTCTTCAGCCCATGGCCAACAACAGTGGTGAGTATCCTACTCTCCCAGGTCCTCTCAGGTGCAGAATCCTGGAAGAGTCCTTGAGAGAGAAGGAAAAGAGAAGCAGGAAGTACTCTCTCAAACGCACTGGCATCACCTTTGAAGTGCCTGGATGAGCAGCTGGCCCTCAGGAACACTGCCAGAGGAGGAAGAGGGGACTGAGCCCAGGCTCATCACCTATCACCAAACAATCATAGAACAACAGACGAGGATCAGCACTGCTGGGGTAAAGTCATAGAAGAATGATTTGAGCCAGGAAAGGTGCAGACAGCCCTTTTACAACACAAGAAATGCAGCAGATCTCATTGGACACTGGAACCAAGCTGGTAACCTGAAGATGTAAGTCTTACTAGTAAAGGGAGAACCCTGCTCTCACTGTAGAACACTCAAAGCTCCAAGAAGCTGAGGAGAGATGATTCTATCAAGATCTCTAGCTATCAGATACACTCTGATCAGCTCTGTGAGTGAGAAGGAGCAAAAGCAGCAGTTCCTCCATCAGCCTCTTCCCTGCTGAAGCACTTTCCATAGAGAAGTGGTTACTTCCTTGGCTAAGAAAGTGTGTGTCGTCACTGCAAAATGACTGCCTGTGACACGAAACCTGCAGTTCCCAAAGATAAAGTTGAACAAGAGGCACCATAAACAGGTTTCCCAGCACAGAAATGCATCTTCCAGCTCATGGCAAGGCTGGAAGCATTGCCAAGCTATGTCTTACAGCACAGTAAAGAACAATAGCACCTTGAGTTCTGGGACAAGAAAAATTCAGACTACTTATGGCATCCAAACCCAGAGACTGCATCATTGGAGGCAGCAAATCAGAACAAATGTATTATCTTGGTAGTCAGAATGGACTAAAACCAAGACTCCTGATAATGCTCAAGAAGCTTTGAGACACACAATCATCTTCAGCTGGCGCTTCAGCCACCCATCCAAACGACATTTGGGATCCAACTGGATATCAGATAGGAGAATAGAGGCAAGCAAGCCTCACATTATTTCACCGTGTGAAACAGGGACACTGCCTTCTCTGTAACGAAATTGAGTGATAGTGGCACCTGGTGCTGACCTCAACAGAGACAGTGGCACTGGAGAGAGTGACTGCTTCTCATGACACAGACTGAGAAGGGCATTCAGCTCCCATGATCAGCTCCCATGATCACCTTGCCACAAGCAGCCACTGAAGTGTGGGTGGACAAACCAGAAGGGCAGGGAACAGCTCAGTGCCAATAGTAGACACTGTGCTGAGGCAGCCAAAACTACCATATGACCTCTGATGCCAGGACAGTCCCAACACCTGACATTGCTCTGACATTGCATCATTTCCAATTTGGCTGGATGAGACCCTGCACTGAGCTTCACAGTACACAAGCTTGAGGATGCCACTCATATGCTTCTCAAATCCTGCCATCCTTCAGACACTACAAATACCTGTAATGGTCAGGACACAGATATGAAGGTGTCCAAACTCTGCACAAGGACACAACAGTGCAGCACGTGGAATGTGCTCCAGCCAAAAGCCAGGAGTGCTGGAGAAACTTCTACTTCATGTAAAGGACACAACTGCACTTGCTGATGGAAAGCACATGTAAGCCTACTTAATCAAGAAATGTTCTGGAGTTATTTATTCTTTTAAAGTAAGACTCCTGAGACTCCTTTTGAAGCTAAAATGACCAGAAGTTTGGCTCACCAGTGCCAAGTGCCCCACCTGCCCTTTCCCAGCTTCCTGCACAGGGAATGTAGGATGGCACAGCACGCACTGCGGAGGTACTCGGACTCACCCCAAACAACACCTCAAAGTGAAAAGTAGCCCCACTCATACACCCCCAATTTTCAAGGTATTGCAAATAAAAGATCTGAATTCTTTCATCACTAAATCAAGTACCTGGTAGGTGATACAATAAAGACTCCCACTTCTGCAGACAGAAGTGCACAAATATAATGGCAGGTGAGGGGACCTGAATAACACCCTTCCATAGCTACCCTCAGGCCATCCCAGAAGCTACCAGCCCATCTAGGGTCCATTTCCACAAGCCCAGAGGCCCAAAGGCAGCTCAGGGGATGTGAACTGGGCTTTTTGGGAATTGCGGAACGCAAATCTTTTCAGAGAAACAGAAACCCCTTTTGGGGTCCTGCCAAAACTGTCCTACGGCTGCCTCAGCTCTGGTGTCTGGTCAAGGGGGCAGCCCTCTGAAACATCTTTTGGACCAACACCAGGAACCAAAAGCAAGTAAAGGAAAGGAGTGAGATTATTTGGGAAGAACAAATATGGGAAAAATACACTATAACAAGGACCAGTTGCACATAAACCTTTGGCTGGTCAGTACACCTCTGTGTACTAACTTCCATGTCTCCCTCTTTCCTAGGCAAGGGCCTCTGTACTGGGGTGCAAGTGTCAGTAGCTGGAGAGGGACCACTGGTCCCAGTGACTCATGGGCCTGAGTGCCACCAACTGCTGTGACTACAGGCAAGTGAATGAATATGAGCCACAGGAACATCAGGCCAGAGGAGCCAACCAGGAGGCTACCTGGGAGCAAGGGAGGGGATGTCTAAGGGTGACGCTCAGGAGCTGATCACTGGAGACATGGGTGAGTCTCACAGCTCATCAGCTGTGATGATGGGTATAGGGGTGTAGGCAGAACAGTGGGCATCTCTAGGCAGAAAGCATGTGGGGAAGAGCAAGGACCCTGATCCAATCAAGACAGAGAAATCCCCAGTGTGAGACGCTGGGAGGTCTGGAGGGTGTGTGCGCTATGTGTAAACACAGAAGGAGGTTGGTACACCTCCCCCCGGGACTGCAGGCCTCAGGGCCCATCTATCCCAGTGGAAGTAACCAGAGGCTGGGGATCTGAAGGCCAGGTATGGACATGAGTATTTCCACTAGTGATCCTTCACTGTGACGAGCCAAGAGGGAAAAGGATGAAGCTGCTGGTGTGGTCTGTGGGAGCACTGCACATGCCCACTTTTGTGCTATCTGTGGGACTGCATGTATGTATATACACAGTCTGTCTGCGTTTGTGTGTGTCTACAAGCAACATCTTCTGAACTTCACTACTCCTTCCAGCCGAAGGGCTGGGGACGTGCCAGCCCCTTAGGTTCCAGGCTCAGCCCTGCCCCAGCATTTTGTCCAGGAACATCCTCATCACTGCCACACTCCTCGGAGCTCTACAGCAGGAGGTCTACATACATATGGAGCAAACAGAGAAGTCAGCACAGATATTCTCCAATGGGAGGTACCAAAAGGAAGAAGTCAGAAAGTCAATACTTTGAAATAGCATCAATATTCTGTAAAATTTTCAGCCATAGATATTAAATTCTTTATTCCAATCAAAAGTTACCGCCTGGATTCATCCCCTTTGTCTTTAAGCCCTGAGCCAAGGGACCTGACTTACAGAGAAGCAGCTTCCCTTCCTTACACAATACAGACAAGAACTGGCTTCCAGCAGTGCTGCTTTCCACAGAGAAGCAACCTAAAGCAATCATTTTCCTCACTCAAATAAATGACTACATTCTACCTACATTTTGTGACTGTAACACACATCACTGGAAAATGAACCACTGTGCTGCTTCCTCAAGCATGCATAATGTCCCTCCTGGGTTCATCCCAACCATGTGGAATTGCCGCAGTTTGGTGTCTGATGGGTGGGAGCAGTAGGAGCAAAAAAGGCAATTGCAAAGCCCCCCTGAATTCACCTAACTCCCAGCCTGCACCATGACAGTTCTCCAATTGCCATCTATCCTGTCCATGGCAAACCTAATATAATCTAAACCTGTAATAGCATTTCCGGTGCCAGGGCAGAAAAACAACCAATGATTCAAATTCCACCATATCACTTGGTTGACAGGCTAGAGGCAGCTCTGGGGTCTACCTGGCTCCACCCAGCTCAGGCAGGGCCACCCAGGACCAGGAGCTCAGGACCCCATCTTGGAATATCTCCAAGGATAGAGACTGCACAATCTCCCTGAGAAACCTGGGCCACGATTTGGTCACCCTCACAGGGAAAAAAGTGTTTCTGATGTGCAGAGGGACCTTCCAGTATTCCAGTTTGTGCTCCTGGTGTCTGGTCCTGGCACTAGGCACCTCTGGGAAGAGACAGGCTCTGTGCTTTTTGCAGCCTGCCTTTGTATGTTTCTATACGTTGATGAGAACGCCCTGAGCCTGATCATCTCTGGGATGGACAGCACACACCAGTGCTGGGGCTGTCCTCCCCAAGGACAGGACTTTGCATTTTCCTAGCTGAATGTCAGGATAGGCTTCTGCTGGCCAATTTCTGCAACCTGCAAGTCCCTCTGGAGGGATCTATGACTGCCTGGTTTGTCAGCTGCTCCTCCCAGTTTGGTATCACCTGTCACTTGCTGAGGATGTCCTCTGCAATTTGCACATTGCAAATGCCCACCCAGCATTCAGCTCCCTATACAATTGCCATTGCTGCCTTTTCACAGACTGTGAGCACAACTTAAAGGTACAGAACCCCTCCAACTGTTTTCAAAGAACAGATGACCAAAAAAAAGCTCCAAATGTGCAGATAAAGCACCTTGCAGAAAAGTCTTAATATTAACTGATTCTTACCTGTCTTGTTCAGGATCAGGGTTCATGGAGCACACCCAGGTGTCAGGGTAGTTCCTCTCCACTGAGCTCAGCTGGAACGGGAGAGTCCGCCACTTCAGACAGACATCTGTCAGACAGACACTTTGCAAGTCAGAAATACACAGTCTGAGACACATAATTTTTTCCCATAGCCCATTTAATGCCCAAGTACCACACCAAAGTGTATCCAACAACAGTAAGACTAGTGGCCAAAAAAGTGAGACAGTCACAGAATATATTGAGTCAATTATTTATTTGTGCTCACAAAACACTTGAATGAGACCCTCAAAGACAACTCTACCTAACAAGAATGCAATGAAGCCTAGCACCAACCAACACCAGAGGACCTCACACTCCTGCTGCAACTATGACATACACAACTGAATTGAAAAGCCAGTCCAGACATCACAGCTCAGCCCAGCAGACAGGCTGTCTCTCAATGATACCAAAGAACACAAATCACAGACATATCCACTTTAAAAAAAAAATCTACTAAATTTTTGATGAACCAGGAACATAAATTTGTTTTCCAGAGTACTGCTAGCCTACCAGGAAACCAACAGCTTCACAAAATCAAGTTCTGCCAAGAAAATCCAAATGTCCTTAAATCAGGCTCTGGAAGGATATCAACAAGAGAAGACAAGAAGGAGAAAAAAATCCCTCCCCCTTCAAAAGAACCTTGAAAAGACTGAGACAACCATCAAGGCAGAAGAGCCTAACAAATAATTCCACAAGAATGGACTCACATTACTTCCTACAACCACATCCTTAAGTCCCCGGGTGAAAATAAGGGAGCTTGGCGTCCCTCTACCAGGTGACAAAGTGATGGTGTGGAGCTTCCCATTACTCTAACAAGGGCTTAGCCAGAGCTGTTAAGAGGTGCACAGAAGAGAACTTGCATTAAATTCCAAGGTAACTGTAAAAGGTTCCCTCTGTACTGACACAGTGCAGGCCAGTGCATCAGGGTACAAATTACTTGGCCACTTCCCATTGCCTGTGCGGATGTTTCACATCTTATTCTGGTGCTGGGATGGGTGCCTTTGGTGAGCTCCAGTTCATATGACATTTCTAAGGCTGTTCTCAACGCTGCTACTGGCCATACCTGCCCTGCTCTGTCAGAAGATTCAGTTGAGAAGATCAGTTAGCGAACTAGCAAACTGTGCAGGAAAGGAGCTTTATGCCTGGCTGTCACAGAATACCACTGACTGCAGACAAAGGCAAACTGCAGAGGAGACAGGCCCTAGGAAGGGATGATAGTCCATCCCAAATCTCCTATGCATTTAACTGTCTCATCTGCAGCCAGGAGTGCTCCCCCCCCTTCCCCAGAGAGAAGCAGCTGGATCAGATCAGACGCACCGCACTGAATTGTGGTGGGGATCTCCATGGCTCTCCTGCGCTTGTAACGCAGTTCACTAGACGGAGGCTGGTTCCAGTTTGCTGATAAATAACCAAATTCATCCCAGAACTTGATGATACCTCTCTGGGCTGGAAAACAAACCATATTCTGCTCAATATGGAGGCATTATCATAAAATCACCATCTGCACTTCTGGCTGACCTTCAGCCACCCAAATTTCTCCTTCCAGACTCTGGTAATTGTGAAGTTTCACTACCTATTGCAACATCCTTCCAATACTGAGCCAAATGCTCTCCCATGGCCTTCAGCAAGTGTCGATACTCCTTGGCATCAGCAAAGTCTTGTTTATTATGGGTTGGCTCCAGAACCAAATAGGGCACATCCACCACGCCTACCACTCCTCCACATGCCCTGGAAGAGGGACACAGAGTAACACAGAAGGACACAGATTAAACCGACAGGCTGGCAACATGAACTATCATGCAAAATGTAAGATGGGCTCAAATATTTGTACTTGCTGTCAAGACCTATTTTGCCTGTGTCTGGAATGAGGCACTAGTACTACCAGCACTCATCAGCACCAAATGGCAAGCTCCTCATACTGCTGCAGGGATGGCTAAAATTTGTGTCAAGAACTCTCTATCAAGAAACCAGGAAAATATGAGGCAGTACTAAATATAATTTATTTGTCAGAATGCAAACTGAAGGCTGACAAAATAAGCAGGCCTCAGGCTCAGGAAGAATGATTAATGCAAAACATGGTTATTGTGCAGCCTAAGTCAGATATAGAAAAATGTGCCAAGCTTAAGCAAAGATTGCAGAAAAATCTGCAGGACTCACATGCCACCCTCCAGCTGTGGGCCCACCTTCTCATACATCTTGATCAGCCGACTGCAGTTATAAATGAACATGCCGTCCAGCTCGCGCTGCTCAATGTTCACCCCAAAGATAAAATTCAGCTCCTTGGGCTCCTTCAGTGCCCTGTAGGGGACAAAACAGAGCCCCTAGGGATGCTGGAAATAAAGCATACTAACTATCTGCTGGTGTTAGAGGGTATGGAAGGCCAGCACCCTTGAGCATTAAACTGCTACTTCTGAAAAATACAAAACATTTGCTGAAAGAGCATTACAACTGAATATGAACAAAATACAAAAACTTTGCAATACAAATACTAATTTAGGCTGGACAGAGAATTTTTCAATTGAATATGTTTTCTCCTTCAGAACAGATTCTGGTTTTTACTTCAGATGTTTTTATTCAGCGAATTAGTTTTATGAGAGCACTGTTGCATCCAGACTGGTCCTTTCCCATGCTATTTTGGTTTGTATTTTCCAGCTATATATCCCTTTCTAGATAAAGCATGGAAATTCAGATTTCAATACAAAACTACAGTCTTGAAATTCTGATTCTAGGAAGTTCTCCTAATTCCAAATTTCACAAGGCTGCTCCTTAAGTTCAAAATCTGGAGGATACAACATACAGAGCTCCTTTTTCTGCAATGTTAGGATATCAATTTGCATGATTTCTCCCTTGTCTATGCAGCAGATGACTCCAAGAAAAGTTGGCCTCGAGTATGTTTGTGAGCCCACAGGATTTCTCAATCTGAATCTTTGGTTACCAGGAATTCTATCTCCATTAAGGCCAAAAGCCTTGCGATTTTCATCTCTTTGTGCTATAAATCAAACAAAATCCCCGTGTCTCACAAACAAGTCCTGCTCTTCAACATACTAAATTAATCAGGTTCCACAGCTTCCCTGATACCCACGCTGAGAATTCTTCATAAGAAGGATACTCAGCCTCAGTATGGAAGTATCCTCAAATATGAGGTCCAAACCAGTAACTACTGCTAGGCATAGCCTATACCATGGTCCTGCCCACCCTTCTCAATTTTGACCTGCTTTATATTCCCCACCTACCCCCATCAAGTCCTTTGCAGTTATGTACCTTATCTTAATGACGAATTTAACTTCTGCTTAAACAGTTAGCTGAAGATAGTGGAATTCTTTAAAATGTTCAGTTGACTGTCTACTAATATCAAATATTAGGAAGACCTGAACCACACACACATGAACCCTACACAATGATCACCTGCAGATATGAGATCCGAGTCTGTCTTAATGGTGAAACTTTTCAAAATAAATACCAAAAATAAAACTCATATTCATTTTTTGTTTAAGGCCATCATCCCTCACACAGATGCAATGGTACCCTGTAACACAGCATCATTTAAAACAGGTGACTGTAGTACATTCCTAGGAAAACACCTGAAATAGCAGTTTTCAGTAATTTCAAATCTAAACCTTTGCCAAGAGGGGTTTTGAACACTGCCAACTGCTGGGCTGGAATGTGACCTGTTGGTCTCAGCTCACTGTCGTAGAAAACCATGATTCAAGAGCATGAGCAAGTGCAGCAAAACACCCATCTCAGGGATTAATTTTCTTTTTCTAACTTCTGGAAAAGAATGCAGAGCCTTATACTTCAAGAAATAGCATGTATACTCACCTATAAAACAAAAAGGACATTTCATTTTTACCGAAGAGGACAGGAAGTAAAACTATCATCCAAACCATGGAAAATGAAGTGGTGGGTCAAAAGCCAGGGATTTAATTACTAGAAATTTAGTACCTGTTCTACTGTCTGGATTCAGAGCCAACCTGATCTTACATGGCCTTTGGAAACCTGAAAGCACTTCTTTCATTGATGCACCCAGCATCACGGAAACAGCAGAAAACTGTCCTAGGACATCCTCTGTAACTCAAGGATTTTCCAAAAGACAACAGGGATTGCTTAGTACAGAAGTTAATGTGCCTATTATTGCACATCTTTCAGGATATTTTTTGGTTTTCTGAATGAAGTACAATGCTGTAGAAAAGCATAATCCTCTGATCTGCTTCTGATCACCAGTGATGAATGCAGGGACACAGGGAAAGCCATGTACCTGCCCAGAGTGGCTTTTTGCTGCTCAGCTTAGTAACAGGAAGAAGTATTTTGCCCATGGGCAGGAAGGGCAGAAGACTATTCACAAATTTTTTTGTTGCACACTAATGTCACCAAACGCAAGAATTAAAGAACAAAGGTGTAGATGGAAAAGTATGTGGAAGCTGAAGGAAATAGGTTCTCTCACAAGCTTCTGTATCATTCAGATCCTAGCTCTAGGACTTTTAAATGAAAGTTGTATTTATTTGTTTCTTTTCAGCATCTTAAGATGCTCTGGCAACAAGTCTGCAATAGTTCTGACCTAGACAGCCATGTCAATGGGCATGCATACACATAGGGAATGGAGATGTTCTGTATCCAAATTCCCAACTTCCTCAAACTCAGCATGTGTTTTAAGAGCATTTGTTTCTGGTTTTCACTTCATTTGAGAAATGCAAAACAAACATATATGAAGAGTGAAATATTCCTGTGAGTACATCAAAAACCAAAGTTAATTGCCACCAGAGCTAAGCTAGAAGAATGCCTTGGGATTTCACAGCACTGACTACACCAAAACTCAGCCTTTTTTTAGAAAGCATGCCTAAAATTCCTAAAGCTGTTTCATTGTAAATTGCAAACATTTGTTCATCAGCCTGAATCTTATCTGCAAGTGAAAAAGCAAGAGTGAAAAAAATATTTACCTGATATGAAAATCAGGTAAATATTTACAGCGAACAACCCAATCCAGAGACCCACATGTCTTTCAGCAGGTAAGAGGGAAATACCAGAGGTAACCAGAATAGTGCCCCAGCTGCTCAGTTTAACAGCCCAGGTATATAAGATGCCCATGGATATTTAAGCTTTGAGCTGAACCGAAAATACATGCAAAACGGGAGAGCCATATGAGCACCTGGAGCAAAGAGCCTAGGTACTCCAGAGTTTGGAAGCCCCTGCACTCACCGCTGCTTTGCATCCTTAATCCTTTTCTTAACGTCAGCCTCCCGCCGCATGGTGATGGCCGAGTTCTGGACCTGACGCAATGTCGCCTGCAAACAGGCATTGCATAGTCAAGCTGGGAAATTCATAAAATTCACTTCATTTATGATATTCTGCTCTTTCAGAAAGAGCTGAGAAGTGTTTCAAGTGTAAATAAGTCACAACTGGTAGACAATGACATCTAGTGTGACTCCAGAGGTAGGGTAAACTTATGCTAGGTTTGGAGGAAAATGTCTACATGTAAAAAGAGGACTAAGGAAATTGAAAACAGTGGCAATGGAGCACAAGGAAACATCCAGGGCACTTGGATACTATTGTTTCCATGACATACCAATAGGAAGCTCAGTGATTTTAAACTGGTGTTACTTGCTGCTTCTAGTGCCCCTGCCAGCCCTCCTCCCAACTCCTGGCACCAGGGCTCAGCCTTGCCCCTCAAAGCCACAGTCCCCCTGGAAGGAAGCAAAGAGGCCCTCTCCAAAAGCCCCTGCCCAAATGCTGCAGAGACAGCTGCACAGGCAGCAGGGAACAGCCAAAAGGCCCATAGCTCTAGTTCTGTTCCCCGGGCCACTTCCACAGAGGCTGTCAGCAAACAGCACCTGGAGTCGGGAGGTCACCTTCTCATGCAGGATGTATTGGGTGTGTAGGCAGGGGAATGCCAACACACTTCTCACTTGGGCGGCACACAGTGTGAAGATGATGAAACACACCCAGTGGTGATGAAGCCATGGAGATACCTAAATGTTGCTGGAAGTTCACTGCTGACTGGAGCCACCACCTGCTTAACCAGCACACGGCATGCTGCCATGGGGTGCTGCCCAGTCAGCATTACTCCACCACCAGTGCTCTGAACACCCCTTGGTGCTCAAAACACGACATGCTGCCAAAAGCACAAGGCTCACCCTAGACTCCCGCGTGAGATCCCCTCCGAGACGTAACTCGAGGGCACGGGCTTTGCTCTCTGCCTCGCGAGCCTTCTCTTCCGCTGAAACATACAGAGACAAGGATGCTGTCAGCCATTTGGTACAGACAGACACCATCAGGCATTCACCCAAAGAGAGCAATTCCAGAGAGCCTTTGCTGCACTGATGTGTACAAGGGTACAAAGGAAACACAAAAATATACAAAAATCAAACCTTACATGAGAGGGTTTGAGAGGTACACCAAAAGCACTGGGCCAGTTCACAGAATTACAGAATCAATTAGGTTGGAAAAGACCTCTGAGATCATGGAGTCCAATCTGTGACCAACACTACCATGTCAACTGGACCACAGCACTAAGTGCCATATTCAGTCCTTCCGTAAACATCTCCAGGGACAGTGACTCCATCACCTTCCTGGGCAGTTCATTCCAATATATAATGATCCCTTCTGTGAAGAAATTAATCCTAATGTCCAACTTAAACCTCTCCTGGCGCACCTTCAGACTATGTCTTCTCATCCTGTGACTACCTGCCTGGGAGCAGAGACCTACCCCCACCTGGCTACAGCCTCCTTTCAGGTAGTTTTACCTGAGCATCCTTCTCTCTAAGCTAAACCACCCCAGCTCTCCTCATAGGGCATGCACTCCAGACCCTTCACTAGCTCCATTGCCCTTATCTGACTTACTTCAAACACCTCAATGTCCTTCTTGAAATGAGGGGCCCAGAACTGGATACAGTACTTGAGGTGTGGCCTCACCAGTTCTGAGTACCAGGGAGGGGGGAAGAATCACTTCCCTGGTCCTACTGGCCACACTATTTCTAGCACAGGCCAGGATGTCATTGGCCTTCTTGGCCCCTGGACACACTGCAGGTTCAGTGATCCCTGCACACCCAAAGGCACCAGGCTGGTTTGGTGATGGCAATGTGTGACATTTTAGGGCCAATGGGACCTGTTCTCAGCACTGGGACAACAATGGACAACACTTTTCAGTGCCATACACTGAACTCCACTTTTAAGTGTCATGAAAGCCTCACAGACTGCTTCAGGGAAGAAGCTTCTCTAAATCCTACTCTTTGCATCTTCTTGAAAAGCAATGGGAGTGTGTGCTCAAGACATGCCCTGGCTATAGGACTCAATGTAAAAATAAATTCACCTATGAGGATTGAGGCATACAATAAAATCTGTTTAAGCTTCATCTTACCAAGTCTATCTTGCCAGGCTGTACTTCCTAAAGGAGGAACAGGGAACATGGCAATTCACACCATTTCATTCTGCTGCTTTTCTTTGGGGCAGGGTCACAATCACACTGCCCTCTGTGATGCTGTACAGGCTGAATGTGGCACCATCCCTTGTATATATGACCTGCAGCCATGTGCAGACATGCCTAAAGCAGCTCTGACACCGGGACAGAGGACACATGCCTCCAAGTGATTTATGTATTTGATTTATGAAACCTACCAGAAGATACAGGTCACATATAAATTACTTACAACTTCCAAGATTCCTCCTTCACTATAGTATTTTTGCATTAAGGGTTAGGGAAGGATGCTGCTTTTTGTGTTATATTTCTGGAGATTTAATGCAGCTCTAATACAGTTTAATGCTGTATTTATATGCTTGTGTAAATTCTATATGCTGAATAACCAATTATGACAAACTGAGTTTTCCCTGAGGATTACAGAACTTAACAGGAAAGGAAGATTAGATGGGCAAAAGGTATGCCAGGAAGGATTAAAACCAAACAAACCAGGGCTCCCTTGTACACCCAGACCCCAGACTCTTTACATTAAGTGACAGAATAAAAATCTACTTTTTTTAACGGCCTTAACAGGAAAGGTGCAGAATGAAAACATAGCCAGAAGTTCATAACATCTTAAAGGTGAGAGAAGAACTGTAGGATGACAGGGCTCAGCCAGCCTTCTGCTGGAGTGGGGGAAAACTGCTGGGACTCCAAGGGTTATCCTGTACATCTGCTACTCAGATGATGAAATGGTCTCTGGAAACAATGTACATTCCTTCCACTGCATGAAGGTAAGTCTTGTGTCATCTGTAGTTGCTGCAATAATTCAGTTCCTGAGCAATTCCAGTGATCCCAGAGGCCGCCAATCTCAGGTCACATAATTCAAGGGTCTAGTCCTCCCCTTAGCAACAGATGAATGCATACCCTGACGACTCACCTATCCTGGCCAAGTGCTCTGCTTTCTTCACCTCTTGCTCTGCACGGGTCTTGAAACGGTTTGAAGTGTATTTGTACATCCTGTGATGATCAAAATTTATTAATCAGCAAACTCAGCAGTAAGGTCAAATCAAAATTTCATCACTGCATGAGAGAACAAGGTCCCCACATGCTACTCTACTCCTCCCAACAGATTCAATAAATGGAGGAGGTTTACATATCATGAACTGGACATTTTTGGATGAAGCTAAGCAAAATCTTTTTATTTCACAGATATTTTAGTAGTAGCTCCAACCACAATATCCTCTCTTCTTCTGCATTAACCAGTGGGGGTGAAATATATCCATATTCTTGTAGCAAATCTCAATACTTAGAGAAATAATTTCTTCAGAAGTAAAAAGGAGGAGTGAATACATATGGAAAGCTTCTCCAAATGCTTCCACCACAGCTAAATAACCTTTCCTGTGAAGAGCTGTCCACAGGTGCAGTCTGACAGCTCCATCTCACACAGGGCTATCTCAAAGTAGAACAACAATTTGGTAAGAACTTCCAAGTTTCAGGACACTTCTTTGTGTTTTGTATCTGACTCACAACCTTGTAAATTGTGCTGGAGATGAAGCAGCTTGTTTCACCTTCCCTGTATGCTAACATGCCAAATACAGATCTAAATTCACTGACTGCTGCAGAGTGAAAGATTGGTGCCTGTGAGGCAAAAGTTCATGAATGTGATCACCTCCAAGCACGTCACAAGGAAAGATGACACCTAGGACAAGCAGAGCCTGCAGGAACTCAGATCACCTTAAGACATGAGGGTTTGGATATACCAAGAGGATTAAATTTTCCAGTATTTAGCTAAAGCAAAAGCCACTAGAAATGCCGTTTTTACAGAAAGGCAAAACCACACAGAGATGTAACACTTGACTGACCAACTGACTGGAATCACACTTAGATTCTAATGAGAGACAAAATTCCCCCCAAATGCAGATAAACTGTCAGGATTTATGAGAAACAACCTTGTACTTATGAAAAGTTTTGTTTAGGTTTGTTTCTGTGGGTGAGCACACAGGGTACTGACATCAGACATAATCTCACCAACAGGAATCCCTTGCTCCCAAATCTAGGAAATTAATACCACAAGAGAGTTCCCAGAAATACATTTTCCTGGAAATACATCTTCTGCTATTTTTAAGGATTTCCTCCCTGGGGAAAAAGCAGACAGGTGCTAAGACTTCCAGAAATCACAGTTGATGATTTCATCAAGTCAGGAGCTAAAGAGTCAGGATAGGTGGTGTCATCTCTAACCTATGTAAGGTTGATTAAAGCTATCTGGGGCCAGGAGACAGTACACTCTGAAAACCAAGCTGCTTTCAACATGTTGGCACAACTACATTACTTCATCCACACCTGCCTGAATTCTAAGGAGAAAATAAAAAGACAGAGAAATAGAGCAAAGATGAATTATCTCCCCGTACCCAGCTCAGCAGGCAGGGCAGCACGTGGGGGGACCGTAGGGACAGCACTCCTTTGCTGTAGGGAACACTGTAAGCAACTGTTGGATGTCCTAGATGATAGCACTGTGAACCATCAAGACCTTCAAGACACTCATTCCAACTGCCTTGGAGTGTCCTTGTGGAGGCACAGGCCTTGCATGTGGCCTGGCTATTTCTACCTGCATAGCCCATATTGCTAAACAAGCTCCAACAGGTACTGGGGAAGAGATGGAAGCAATCCTTCAGGAGACACAGGCCACTCCCAGGGAAGCTGGGAATGTGGCAACACAACTGCAAAGGCTGGTGAAAGATCCACACAAAACGAGCCAGCCCCTGCCACCAGGATGTTATCAGCTCCAGAAAGGTGAGGAGAAGCCTCTGCCACAGAAACATGGGTGGTGACGAACAGAAAACAGAAAACAGAAAACAGTCCTGCTCAGGAGATGTACTATTATTCCTGAAAAACAGTGCAAGGGCTGCAAAACCTTTTTTCAGTAAAGGCACTTACATACCCTAAATCCACAGTGGATTTCTATTCATTGTCTACAAACACCAACACTGGAACCTGCAGACAAGCCACTGTACAGGTTTTTCCTTCAGAGATAAAGGCAACCTGACCGACAGCAGAAGGGAGGCCCCTCTGAAAGAAAAGAGCCCTTCAGATGTCCCAGACAAGCACACCAGCTTCTCAGGCTGTAAGGCAGCAGCACCTCCACTGTCTGTTCCCCATCCCTTTGCTTGATCAGGAAGGTTCAGGATTTATCTGGCCCAAGCTACTGGGCCAGAAACACAGCCAAGCTAAAGAGCTGAGCATCACTGCCACATTTGCTGACAACAAAGGAGCACCATAATGGAGGTCCCTTCCCCGTGCACTCACACACAAAACAGTGCTGGCACAAATGCAAGGGATTGACCCAGTATTACCCTGCTGAGCACTCAAAGCCTAGTAGATAAATGGGGATGCTGAGCTCTGGCTTCAGCTCTAAAGGAAAAGTGAGGGCATAAGTGACCCTTTTCAGCAGGTTCAGGGAGAAAAATCTACACCTATGTCAGTAAAAGCAAAGTAACCACTTTCAGAGTGGACTGATTTACTGGTTTTCCCTTTAGAAAGAGCCACTCAAGGCAGATTTGAGCTCTCCTGAGGAAAAAGACAGCTTCCTCAACCTGCCCAGGGCACAGCATGGCATCTACCCCAAGAGCAGTGCTGGCTCTCAGAACCCACAGGAAAGACTTTGATGGCTTGTCCTGATGGGCACACAGCTTCTAGAGCCCAAAGCTGGTATTGGGAAGTCCAGCCAGAAGGCAGCAGTCTGGACAGTCTCCAGAGAGGCCCAGTAAAGCCACAATGATTGCCACAAGACTGAGAAGATTTACACTGTGCTCTGCAGGAAGGTCTTTACTGCTCTGTTGCAGGAATGGGGATCGTAAATGTAAACGTCTTTACAATATTCAGGAATTTGTACTGGCCTATCACTATAAGCAGATCTACAGGAGTTTGCTCACATGCAGCACAAACAGATCTGTAAGACACATCTGCCACCAGCACACATCAGCTTGGGGCTCCTTAGAATAGACTACTGACCACTTGAAGAAGAAGACACTGAAGAAGAAGACACACTCAGAAGACATGTTCATCTGGGGTGACCTGGGACACCTAATATTGTCATGACGCTGACAGCATCACCCACAATGATGGCATCCTGTCTGTAAGTCTCGCAAGAAGCTTGTCTCTGATGAGACAAAAATCTGTGTCCTCCCCCGGTTTCTCTCCCTAGTACTTCTGATGAACCACAGCACAAGCAAATGAAGCACAAGGCCCTCACACGTAGATAAGACACAGTCAAAAATACAGAAATCCAGAGATTCTCTATCCAGTAAATCAGGATTTACAGTGGCAAGTTCCCTGCCTTCCGCAGGGAAAAACTGGCCTGCCAGCATGAGAAGCAGTGAGTGTGTAACATTCTTTTATTTTGGTCAGGTTTCTGATACCATTTCACACTGTCTCATGTAAGGAGCTGAGGAAGCCTAAGTTAAAAATCAGCCAGGTTCTTCAGGCACTGTCAGTGGTGTGACACTGGCCACTGGTGTGGCTGCTAACAGTGCCTAGTAGACTGGGTGAGCCCAAAACGCTACTCAAAAAATCCACAAATATTCTACAAAATTACTACTATTTGATTCAAATAAATTATGCCAGGGTATCTAGAATGCAGACTGTGTGCTCCCAGAGAGAGTCTGCCTCAATCAGACTGACATACAGGTTTCCCCTCCCATGCCAGTAATCTTTTCCAGTCTCTCTTCAGCCAACTGACAGCACACCCCAGCTCACAGTCACATTTTTTGTTTAAGGAAATCTAAAAGGAATATAGGGAAAACTTTTTTTCAATCTCTATTCAAACCCGGATTAGCTACACATAGAAGCAACTGTTTCAAAGCACTCAGTCTAGTTTCTTTTTGGAAATAATCCTAACACCCACCTTCTGCTTTCCTTCTGCTCAACAACAACATAGTTACCCAACAATTTTGTATGAATATGGTATTTCATACAACCAAGATCTTAATTTCTTTGTTTGCTCTGAAAGGGACGGCATTTGATTTTCCATGATGTATCTCTCTTCCCATGATGTCAACACCACATGCCATTCTCTTATGGTCTGATTCTGTGGCGTTAGAGTTAGGAATGGAATTATGCAGGATACACCTGGAGAGCAAAAGACTACACCTTTAACTCCAAATGGTCCCACAGATCTTGGATCCAACACTTACCTTGGCTTGTAGAGGCAGCATGAGAGTCGTTTGGTTTGTACTTTGTGTCCATTGATGAAGATCCTCATCCTGGGATCAATATAAAGCACAGCAGCATAGGCACGAAAGGAGCGGCGCTCCGGCTTGCTGCAAGAGAGACATCTACTTCAGAATATGCCCAAGCGATACTCTTAGCAAAACAGACAGGTGAAAGAAAAGGTCTTTCTGTTTTAATTACCATTAAGTAAAGCTTTTCTTTAAATTTTTTTGACCTATGTCTTCTCCAGACTCTTTGTTGAGCTGTACATCATAACTACTGCTACAAGAAACTGATACTCGTGTTACTGCAACCTGAAGAGGGAGTTTGAATACATCTGGATAATAATGGCCAAAGCTATAAACTGGCCTACTTAACACTAAAAGTGTGCCCATCTACCCAGAGCATTTCCACTTTTCAGTGAGTCACTTGTACGCTGCCTCAGAACCTGCACTACTCACTGACACACATGGTACCACAATACCAGAAAGAAGAGGCAGTGATCAGTGGCAATCACGCCTGCCTTACAAACAGGCATTAAATATGCTGAGAACCCTCAGAGGGCCCCAAGGAATTTGCTCAGTAACATCACTCTAATACTGCTTTACAGGGTCTGAAACTTCCTATGGAAAATTCAAGCACTGCAGAGGAGAAGCGTGTAATCTCACTAAAAACGTAAAGCTTGCTAGGTGTGACCATGGAGCTCTGGGACTTAACCAAGCATTTGGCTCATTTCAGCTCAGTTTTTTGTTTTCAGGCTACAGGTGACCAACTCAGCAAACACTCATCTCTCTCTAAACAGGGGCCTGTGCTCTTCCAGCTGCCCTTTGAGCACATCCTTCTTGCCCCTCTCCAGGAAGAAGTGCTCCCTGACAGATGTGATGATACACCCCACCTGCCTTCCATACTATCCACCCCGAGAGGCTGACCTGTGCAGCACCTCATGTTTTGCCACAAAACTGAACACCAATTTGGGAGCAGCACTGACTCACAACGAGCTCTCATTCTGATGAAAACATCTTTGATAGGTGTATAAAATTAAACATAAAACTTAGCTCCTTTTTTTATGGTGCCTAAAGGACACTGAGTTTTCTGCTTTGGCGAAGCTGAGATCAGCCATTGCAGGCATTCAACCCAAACACAGCCACAACACCCATGGGCTGACACACACATGTACACCAAACAGCTTAAGAATAAACTACAGATCTTCTAAATTTCCTAATTCACTATAAAATGAGAATCTTAAAAAAAACCCCATGCACATAGTATATAGCCAAAACCTACACCAAATTTGATCAAGGCCTGTTATACCAGTCACACTTACGTTCCCTCTGGGGGTGTTTCTGCCATCTGAATATCTTGAGGGTCAGAAGTCACATCCAGCTCTGGCTCTCCGTTATCCATTAGTTTGAGGTTAAAGATGATCACCAGAGTGCCTGAGAAAGTAACAAGTCAACCAGGTGAATCCCAACCAAACCCCAAATATCTCACTTGTGACCTGCACCATCCACATGTACCTTTCTCACCACGTATCTTATTGAACTGGTCCATCACTTCCCATTCTGATTTGAAAGGGGAATACTTGTAGATGAGCTCCGTCTCAATAGCAAATTTCTCCATGTTGTCCGTCAGGGGTTCACGGCTCCGTGCGTTCCAGGTGGGTAGGGGAACAATGACCTGCAAATCCCATTGTATTGAGAGTGACTCAGGCTCTTCCACTCCAGTCAGCCCCTCCTGCAGGTCATGGTCCAGTGACTTACCCCTCCTGACAGCCCCCTAAGTCCCCAGGGGAGGCCTTTCCAGCTCTTCAGTGGTTTGCATGTCTGTCAAATGCTCACAGACCCTCTTTGCCAGCCTCTGAGCTGCCTTCTCAACATACCAGTCTCAGAGTGAACCATTCCCAAGTTACATGTATGGTACTGGCTACTCACACACTCAAGGCCTTTTTTTCCCCTACTCATGTAGCAACTTTCATAATACTAAAAAAAACCACTCTGGCTTAATTCCTCTCTTGAACTCAGATATCCTTCACTCATATTTATCCTGATCTCAGTCTTTGATTTTTTAAAGGATGCTAGCAAGGTGGCTTCTGCCACGTAGAGTAAAAATATACACAGAATTCTAAACTGCAGCTGCACATCAAGGACACAAATCCCATCCCAGAACTGTGGTCAAGCCAAAAAAGTAGCCAGAGGTGCTGTGGGAATTCGACTTACTTTACTCTTCCCAATCTGCTTCAGTCATGGGCTAGCTACCAGCATGCACTGACCCTCCCCAGCTTCACCCTTCAATCCCTCCCTCATACCAGAAGATGCTTTCTGAGATACCACCCCAGTGCAAATTTAAATTATCAACCCTGCCAGGAACAACAATGCCTCAGTTATTTCTTAAAATATACAAGTTTCTCATCGGTAGAACTATGCTGACTTTTTATTAAAAATCAAAAATATTTGTAAGAAGATACATCTGCAGTAAATGACCCGTGGGTAGCAATTTCAAACATCTTTAGTTCTCTACACAAAATCAAATCAGCACAATAAAATTAAATACATCTCAAACTCAAATTTTGCGGGAAAAGAAAAATGCATGTCCTGAACTTAGCATAAGCACACCTTTAAGTGACTGAAATAAGCCCTTCAAACTTGCTGTACTCTAGAGACTTCTGAATTAGAATTAAAACCAAAAGGAAAAAAATGTGTTGACTTTGCAGAAGCCCTACAGTATAATGCTAAAAGAAAACCATACACTGATCCCACCAGAGTCACAAACAGCTCTGAGACAGACTCTTCTGTAAGAGCTAGGCAAGTTCAGATGAGGCAGCATTCACTATATTAGTTCATTACAAGAAGTACATGCAAACCTCGTCGATGCCTTCTTCCTCATGGAACGTCCGTGATAAGAGGAGGCAAGTCATGGTGTTATCTTTCTTTGTGAACAGGATAAAATCCTTCCCAATCCGCATGGAACCCCTGTAGGCAGAGGTCAAACTGTGTGTTACACCTGATGCACCATACTGTTCAGAATGCAGGCCACATTACTGAGCTTTCTTCCCATTATATTCAGTTAAGAGATGCCAAAACCAGGTTAGGCAGAAGAGCTGAAATAGCGGCTATCATTTCTCTCTAAACACCTCATTCCTTTCAGAAGGCATATCAATCTGGCCATTTTCACAATGTTTCAAAACATTTAACACCAGTCACAATTAAAAGGTGCACAGCATTGCAGACTCATACTATGCAGAAAGTTTAAACGGAAATTAAAAAAAATTTAAAAGACAACTGAGGTGAGATGTGACAATAACCTTCAAATCTTTGAGCAGAAATGTCAGTGAGCAAGCAAGCACATTCCTCATTTCACTGTATCCAGAATCAAGTGCAGCAGTCTGGAGACAGAAAATTAGTTTCCTAACCTAACTAAAGCCTTACTGACACTTCAGCTAAGGCAGCTTAGCAGCTTGTTGTCACAAAAAGGGACAGTCCCTTCCTTCTCCCTACTCTCCTAAGTTATCCTGTTACCAATGTCATCCAAAACACCTTAACAGGTAACAATTAACATTGCATCGAAAGAAGTATTGGTGTTATGTCAGTGCATTTCTCTTCAGACTGCCTTAAGTCCATACCACAGCAATTCCACAACCTACCTTTGGCATATGCTAGGGCTTCAGGCAGCATTTCTCTGATGTAATAAAGTACACCTCTTGCTCAAGGTTAAGAAAGGACAGAGATCTCTCCTGGAAACAACAGTCAGGATCTGGGATCTGTCCTGCACTGTAGCTGAACTGACAGTGTCTCAAGATCCCCTAATTTTTCCCCCCAGGTTACTGAGTCCCACTGATTTCCCAATAGGATGCATATAATCAAGGCACATGGGTGAGCACAAAGCAGAACAGCCAGAGTAAGTCACAAAGTCCTGTAACTTTCCCAAAGACACAGCAAACTTCTTCCTCTCTCCTAGCAAATCCACTCCAACTAGTGTTGTGCTCCTCTGCACTTAATCCTACCCTTCCTCTCATTGCTTTCATCATTCCCCTTCTCCCTGCATTTGTTTGGTTTGAGAACAAAAAGAAACGGTTTAAGTCCATCTGCCTTGCACCAGATAGCTTTCCTGTTGGGAGGCTGAAGCACTATTTTGCTGCCTGACTGTAACAGGAAGATGACCATTTTGTTTCCAGCTCTTCCGGTATTTTCCCCAAGCTCTCATCTGTACCCTCTGCGTTGGGTAAACATAGTCCCAAATCACTGATGTCAGCTGTACAGAGCCTTCCTGGCCACTGGAAAACTACAGCAGATGTTGAGAGAGCTCCTGTCTACCAAAGCAAGGGATCTTAGAGCTCATCTGCTTTTTTTTTTTTTTCTGGGAAGAAAGCTATACACCTCTGAGCAAAAAGTACACTGATCATCTGGACTATGACCTCCCCAGCCTCAGGAGGCTGGCTCTTGTTGTACCTACGATTTCAAGCCGTTTCCATATTGCCCGATTTGAGTTGACTCAGGTGATCGCTTGGCTGATTTACCAAACTGGATAACACTGGCAGCTTCATCTGCAACAAGAAATAGGGAACAGAAAAGGCTTATTTCCATGTACAGACACACACAGACACATCTTTTAGATAAAGAAGGAAGGTAATTTCTTCACCACTGGAAATAGGCCAGAAAAAAGGCCAGAAGCCCAAGCTGAAGCTGCATCCTGAAATTGTACCACAGAGCCCTGTGAGACACATACTGCTTGAGGGCACTGATGTTACCAGAAGATCTGTACATATGCCATGATGCTGACAGAAAGAGTTTTAGGTTTCAGTCTAGTTCACTGTCCCATCTGAACTGCATGAAGACATTTCTTTTTGCAAAAAAAAAAAATATCCACAAAAATAATCTATTGTGTCCATCACAGTTGTCAATTCTTATAAATTAAGACCCTGGGATGCAGTGGGTCTGTTGTATCCCATGTCCCAATGACACCTCACACTTGATAGCACTGGCACTAGAGCATAGGTCGGGACTATTAAAAAGGTCAGAAATCCAGAATAAACACTGCTATTTCTCCACAGTGCTGAACTTAACACTTTGGTTAATTAAAGCACTAGGAGGACACAAGCTAACTTTGGCAGCAGATTGCTGGACCCCTGGCAGCAGGACAGCTGGGGAGAAAGTCAACACAAGCCGGTCCTACAGCAATTAGCAGAGGATTTCATTAGCACAGGACAAAATGAAAGGACACAATGGCTTTACAGCTCAGAGGGTCTGTCATTTTTAGTTCCAGCCTTTCTACTGTACAAGGGATAAAGACTTTTAACATCATCCCTAGGACAGATTCCTTTCCCTTCCCCCAAGAGATAATAATCATTTCACCAGAGTTTACTGGGAGAAATAAAGTTTAATTCCAGAGCCAAGGAACACAAACTGCCTAACTCTGAAGGCTAAAAACAAATGCATACACACAAGCTATAAGGGAGCACAAGACATCACTCACCCCACCAGGCAACTATGGGGAGGCTGAGCCCATGGACAAGCTAGATTTCAGCATGCAGAAGATACACAGGCCTATCAGCATTGACCAGTTTTACAGTAAAATATTCAGTACTAACACCATTGGTCTTATGTGGCATCACTGAGCTGGTGTCAGAACACCATTTTCAGTTGAAACTATATTCAGATTTAAAGACACAAATACAGGAGAACAACTGTGCAAATACTTTGCTGCCTAAACTGCAGTTGTTCTCAATGGAACTCCACAGCTATTCCAGAAACAGCTATGGACTGGATAAGGGTACCTCTACCTTCCCTTCAGCCTACTGTACTATTTTCTAGCCAAAGAAAGAAAACACTCGAATGTCTTGTATTTGAGATCTGGCTAAGGATGTTGGTGATGATCATTCTCATCACCATTATCATCCAACTGATGATGATCATCATCATCCAGTTATTATTACTCTAACTACTATTACTGTGTTATTTTTAAAGCCTGGTAAGGAAAGTAGATACAGGATATTAAAAAGAGAAGGATATTAGAATCTTTTTGCTCCACAAATATTTTTTCAGTAACTATTTTTAAGAAACTTTTAGAAAGCCTAAAGAGAGTAAAGAGTAATTATCCAAAGCACTTCCCCTCTCAGGAAAGGCGATCAGATGGTTTATCACTCATTGTTGGATGTCTGAAATCACCCTATTATGACTCCTCTTTCAGGTCAGAGGGATGAAGGTGATGCTGAGCAGAGGGGAATGTAAGGTAGAACCTCTCTCCAAGCTGTCTTTAGGAGAGATTTAATATTTATATCCTCCCAAGAATCAAGACACACATTTTTTCCCCAGCTCTTTATAGAGCTGCTCTTTATAGGGCTCTGGAGGGTGTTTCTACTTAAGGCTATTTCTGTCACACTATTTTTGTTTTGTTGTGCCTCAGAGTTACTGGATTTAAAAAAGCCAAACTCCCCAGCAAGAAAAATAGAGAAGGGAGATCTATGCAAAACAAAGAAGAGAAAAAACAAGCTGAAGAAATTCACTCAGATGGTCAAGATAAACAGGATTTAATTCATTACCTGGGGGGAATTAGCCTAAAGCCAAGTTGAACTTTCCTGAGGATAGGGGAACAAGGGAAAAGCTGTGACATCCTTCATGACTGTAACAAACACAGGACACCAACCCCACATGGGGCAATGACTGGAAACAGACAGTGACTGACAAATAGCTTTGATATATGTTCCTGTAATTTGTTTTAAAAATCTGTTAACTTTATAGGAAACATCAATGTTTAGGTTAAAGATTTAACCTTAAAGAAGGTTAAAGAGACATTTTCTCCTGAGAATCGTGTAGACTTCTCCCCTGAAAGTGGCCCCCAAGAGTCACTGTCCACACACACAAGTGCATACACACTCTAAAGTAGGAGTTGGAGTTTCAGTTAAACATTTTTCCTCACTATTGTGAGCCTTGGATAAACAGTATTTTTTAAATACAAATAAAGCAACTACTGAAATACTAAACAGCAAATACTATATACTAAAATATAATAATGCAACCAACACACTACTACTAAATTAACTGCTACCATTAAAACAAAAGCTGTTTTGAGCTTCCAAACTTTAAAAACACAGCTAAAAAAAGCAAGACTTGATATATTTGCTTCAATCTCTCAAAAAGCAACAGAACAAGCCCTCTTAAAAAGTATTAGAAGCCAGACAAGGCAGGTAACTGGGCTAAGTCTGCAGAGATTTACAAAGGCAAGTGACACCTGACTGATTTGGTCACCTTCTACAAGGCAGCACTTCCTGTCCTTATGGAGACAGTAGTAGTGGGTGTTGTTTGGTTGGACTTCAACAAAATGTTGGACACAGCTTAACACAGCCTGTTCCTGGACTAACTGAGGAGACACAGATCAGGCAAGTGGTATACAAAACAAGTAGGGAACTGGCTCATGGGTCATGCTCAGAAGTGATCATCGATGGTTTTCACTCCAGCTGGGAGGCTGTCACAAGCAGACACTCCAGGGACTGATGCTCTGCCTCATACTGCTCAACATCTCCATACAGGAGCTGGACAGTGGGGTGCTTTTGAATCCTCACCAGCTTCATTGATGAGGGTAAATTGGAATGCTTTCTTAGACAGGTGGACTGGCTGAAATAGTGGGCAAGCAAGATTGTGTCTGTATTTCAAGGGAACTGTGAAGTCCTGCAAGAGCCCAGCACAGACTGGAATCTGCAGGTTGGGAGGAACAGCCTTGCTGGAAGGGTCCTGGTAGACAACAAGCTGAGTATGATCCAGCAGTGTCCCACAACAGCAACTGAGGCAAACAGGATCCTGGACTGTATCCACAGGGACATTGCCAAAGAGATGGAAATGTGATTAGCCCATTCAGCTTTGTGTTTGTCAGGCCCCGTCTGTTGTACTGTGTCCAGTTCTGTCTCCTCAGTTCAGGAAAGATGCAGACAGCCTGAACAGAGTGCAAAGGAGATGATCAGAGGGCTGCAGAAACTGCCCTATGAGAAGAACTAGGTCTCCTTCCTTGAGAAGAGAGTGCCCATGGGGAATCTCATCATAATACTACAGTACTTGAAAGCTATTTACAAAGGCTACCCTTCCCTAGGAGCCACATGAAAAAGAGGCAAGAGATACAAGTTGCACTGGGAGAGGTTTCTTCTTAAAATAAGTACAAAAGTTTTTAGAGATCAATCAGTCATTTAGTCAATCACTAGAACAACCTCCCCAGGTGTGTGGTGGAGTCCTGCATCACTGGAGAGACAGGGTGCTAAATCATCTATTCCCTTGCCCATTAAAGGCTGGAACAAATTACCTTTGAGGAACTTTCCAACCTGACCACTTCTGTGATGAAAATGCCAGTTAAGAGACTTATTTTCTTTAATTGCTTAAGAATAAAACTACAGTCATTTCCTAAACTAGTTGTCATACTTTCTTAACCTACAAGTTGATTCATCGAATCATTCAACCTGCATTTTGATTCTTTAAATTCACACAGCACTTTCAGAGCCAGGTATTAGATAAAATTTCAAGCCTGAGTAGTGATTTCATTGATAGTATGAGAAATGTGATGTGCTGCATGAAATCTATTGTTCGGTTTTCCATGGACTCCTACGTAGTTCCTTACAAAAGAGCCAAAGTTTTGGACCAGTACTATTATTCTGTGTTGGGGGAAGAGGGTATTTACTGGATAATAATAAATTTATTAATATTGGAAATTAGAAAAAGGTTCTTCACCAAAAGGGTGTTTAGGCACTGGAACAGACTCCTCAGGGCAGTGGTCATGGTCTCAAGCCTGACAGAGCTCCAGGAGCATTTGGACAACTCTCTTAGGCACAGGACACCCCAAAATCCCACCCTTCCAACTCAGAAGATTCTATAATTTTGACACCTTCTGCAGGACATGATGGTTCCTTTGAAAAGAGCTGTCCTGTAACATCACTGAATCCTTGGACCTTATGATAACTCATGACTACAGTGTGAGATGCTTCCAGCTTGAGTACAAATGCTTTTTGATCTTGAGACCACGCAATCCAGAGTGATCATTAAGAGAGCCAATGCAGTGAGTACTGAATGCAACTGCAGCAGGAATCACTTGACAAACATCCCTAATTTTTAGAAATGAGGAGTTGTCATTTGGCTTGCTAATCAGAAGCCATCAGACAGAGCACTCAAATCTGACCAACTGCCTCACTATACCCTTCCATTTTCAGAGCCTGCCAGACAAATCTAGAATTGCCCAAGACAGAACAAGACCAAAGAGAACAGCAACAAGACAGAGTTACACAAACTGTTACTGGAAGAGTTAACTTGAGCCCTTCAGCTCTTCCCTCCGTTTAGAAGTGCCCAGACGCAACTGGGTTTATTCACTCATCATCCCCAGATGGTGCCCCATCCAGCCTTCCAAGCCATCCTTTCAGCTGACTTGGGAAGATCCCGGGCTAGCATGGGCTACAACAGCACTACAGCAAGTCATGGAGGTATTCTTTTTAACATGTCACCTTTATGTACAATAAAAATAATTTCAATTGAAGTTATCATGCACAAAAATAACACATTCCCAAGATCCATGATTTCTGTTGAAGCAAAGTCTGTATTGAGGGAGAAAAGTCCAATAAAAAGTTTTCTGCTGACATCTTTCAAAGTCAGATATGAGATCTTCAGGATATCTTTAAAACTGGTAAACCCTGCATCATGAGAAATTACAACTCATATCCCTACAGCTAGGGATGGAACCAGAGAGCCCCATGCAGCAAGTTTGAAAGACTCTCCTTAGCTGCTTCTGTCCATGCTGACAGGCAAATGGTGCAGCATACAGAGCTTCCACCTGGCTGCCCTTGGTCCAGCATCAAGACAGTCAAAGGATCTGAATTACATGGTATTTTCTATACACAATGCATAGCACTGTGAAACATCCCTGCAAGGCACAGTATCTGCCAATCTTCTTCACTAAACATTTCAGGCTATCAGGATAAAATTCTTCATCATTCAGCTGAAAGATTAGTCAAAAGAAGCCACTTAATAGCTGTCTCGGTAACCCAAATATTATTGTATTTCATATCCATCTGTGCTCAGAATTGAAAGTCACTTTAAGACCCAGCGGTGCAGCCAGAATCAGAACCACAGGGATGGGAGCAGGCGAGTGTTAAGCTCTTTCAAGTCAAGGCATTCCAGGCAGACTTTCGTCTCTCCCCTCATAGCTTTTGCTCAAGGCAAAGGCTCTGCTTTGGTTTTTTTTTTTTTCCTCTCTTTCTTTCCGACCTCCAGAGGGGGTTGTTTCAGGTAGGTTTTCTGTGCTCACAACAGTAGCAACTGTTGCTACAAAATGGGACCATGCATGCCATAATGAAAAACTGTTTCAGACTGAATTTTGCAGCATCTGTCTGCAGCTGTAGCAAGGTGCTAGGAGGAGTGAAGAGGCCCCAGTCTCTGCAGCTGCTGCAGCAGCCAGCTGACACGAGGAGTCACAGAGTCTGAGCCACTTTAGCTGGCTGCCCTGCCATCCTCTGCCAAGATGAAGGTGAAGTCCTTCCAGAGGTTCTAGTCCCTGACCAAGTACCAGCAGCCAGAGCATGTCAGTCGCAAACACCGATGGAGCTGCTGCCACCAGAGAGGTAAGAGGGAGGGCTGCCCTCCCTTTGCCTTCCATACACAGCTGCCCATGGCAAGCGTCACCTCGGGGAAAGGTGTCACTGCCATTTTGAGCTTCTCTTGGTTCCCACGGAGTCCATGATATTTAGTAATTTTGTATCTAGCGATTATTTACTGTTAAGTTTGTGCCTGTTGCTGTTTTGCTTGTAAGTAAACTTATTTTTTCATTTATTTTTACACATTTATTTCCTGTGGAAAGGGACTGGTTAAAACTTACGGGATATAACTCACTTCAGAGCATCCCCCTTAAATGGGATGCTTAAACCAAGACAATAGGCAATACTTACATCCCATTTTGTCACAAAACCAGCACTACAGAAGCAATAACTGTATAAAAGCTGCCATAAAATTCTGTGGCATTAGAACTGACACCTAGCACCTTCCAGAGAAACACACAGGCAGAGAAGGTCATATTTTCCTCTCCCCTGATCCTAAGGACTATCAGAAGGCCACACACCTCACAGCTTTTTTTTATGGGTGGGGCTTTACTGTTTCCTTCAGCGAAACTGATGGCAGAAAAGTACTCTTGGGAGACTTGTTTAGCAATCTTAATCGTATTCCAAAGAATATACAGAAGGTATCTAGAGTTCAAACCAAATTCCTTTATGGAAGTCACAAATCTGTGTATCAAAGCACAAATTACACTGAATGAAATGCTTTGTATCTATATGGGTTTGGGGTGGGATACAGTTCAATCTCTCCATGCTAACTTGCATGGGGCTGTATTTCAGAGAAATGTTGGCAATATATGGTTTTCATTAGTGCTGAACACAGCTTACACAGCATCAAAGTCCTTTCTGCTTCTCAAACTGCACCACCAGCAAGCAGGCTGGATTGCACTAGGACTTGGGAGGGGACAAGTCTGGGATGGCTGATCCCAACTGACCCAAGGGATTCCAGACAGTATCATAAAATCCCAGAATGGTTTGGATTAGAATGGGCCTTGAAGACCATCTGGTTCCACTCCCTGCCATGGGCAAGGACGCCTTCCACTATACCAGGTTGCTCCAAGCTTCATGCATCTTGGTGTAGCGCTCACCAGATAAAGCTGGGGAAGTAGGAGGAAGAGAGGCATGTGTGACCTTGCAGCATTTGTCTTCTCAAGTCACTGTTTTACATGATGGAGGCCTGCTCTCCTGGGGGTGGCTGAACAATTGCCTGCCCACAGGAAGTGGGGAATGAATTCCTTGGTTTGCTGTGCTTGCGTGCACAACTTTTGCTTTCCCTACTGAACTGTCTTTATTTCAACCCATTAAGTTTTCACATTTTACCCTTCTGATTCTCTCTACCATCCCAGTGGAGCTGGAGTAAGCTGCTGTATAGGACTGAGTTGCCAGCTGGGATCGAACTAGGAAAATATCACAAGAGGAACTTAAAAGTACTGAGGAATCAGTGCAAAAATGTTATTTACACATTTCCTTTGTCTTCTCCATATTCACCTCCCAGTTTCACCCAATTTTGCTGCCCTGTATGGAACTCCTCACAGGATGATTTACCAGTCCTCAAGATTCAAAGGTGGGTTGACAGTGCTGTTCATTTATGCTAAAGTAAAGCAGAAAAGCTTTTAGCTTTCTCCTGCTAGATACAACATCAATTTACAGCAATTCTTACAAGGCAGAAATACATTTGCTATATTCTCATATTATCCAGTATTGATCTCAAACACAATGTCCATGATGAAACAATGGCAAACTGTTTTCAAAGCAGAACCTTAATTTCTGCCATGGCACACCTGGTTGGAGCTGAGATACACTGATCACCTGGGCACCAGATGGAGAAAAGGCTTATGCTACCTTGTACTTGCTCCCCTATTCTCCCTTCAGCCCCAAGGCCAACTTCAGTGTACTGGGAAACTTCAAGCTAGGCTGACCCAACTCTAAAATGCAGCAAAAAAAATTTCTTTTGACCAATTAGTTTTCTGCAATGGAAGAGGTAAATGGTCTGATATGTGATATGGTGTGAAAGAGCAAGAGGAGAGGCAGAAACATGTATACAGGCATGGAACATGTCCTTTTCAATGGAACTAAGCTGTTAATTCAACTTAAACCATAACATGAAACCTCAGCTTGCAAATGCAGGTGTAACTTTCTGTCACTTACTTGAATCCATTCCTGTTCCATCATCCAAAAAACATAGCATGAATCCACCTCGCAGGTCCTCTCGTTGCTCTGCAAGAGAAGAGTTACTCACTGCTCCCATAAGCAGAAGTTAAAAGTTCCATAAAATGGGATCAGTGTTAACAACAAAACTAACTCAACAAATAGGACTTTTAAACCTGCAATATGGCTAAGCTGTAAGAAAGAGCACCAGATTTTTGTTACAGAATGACTAAGAACTTCTTCACTACAAAACTGTATTGTGTCAGTGGAGTTTTTTAGCATTCACTACATAGAGCAACTCACTTCACCTGACCCCAGGTGAAGGCTGACTTAATTGCTTCCCCAAGATATTTGTAAAGGTACTCCTTTTTGAAAGGCAACAGGGACTATGGCACAGAAGAAATGGTAGAACAATAGAATTATTCAGGTTGGAAAAGACCCTTAAGATCATCAAGTCCGACCACAAATTCAACACAGCTGAGTTCACTAAACCATGTCCCTAAACACCAGATCTACACATTTTTTAAATATGGATAGATAGTGACTCCCCCACTACCCTGGACAGCCTGTTCCAGTGTCTGACTACAATTTCAGTAAAGAAATTTTCCCTAATATCCAATCTAAACTTCTCCTGGCAAAATTTGTAGCTGTTTCCTCTTGTTCTTGTCACTTGTTACCTGGGAGAAGAGCCCAACCCCTACCTGGCAGCACTCTCCTGTCAGGGAGTTGTAGGAGCAAGAAGGTGCCCCACAAACCTCCTTTTCTCCAGGCTGAGCTCCCCAGCTTCCTTAGCCACTTCTCATCAGACTTGTGCTTCAGCCCCTTCTTCAGCTCCCTTACCCTTCTCTGGACAGCCCCTCAATATCTTTCTTGTCTTGAGGGGCCCAGTACTGACCCCAGGATTGGGCATAAGATTCTCGCTCTTATTCAGTCAAGGACAACATACGTTTGCAGCTTAAACCCAACTAGTGACTTAATTGCTGACATGCAAGGAAGCAGCATGAGTGACTTACCAGTATAAATGTCTATTCTCGTGGCATCTGCATCTCTACAAAGAAATAGAGCCACAATTGATATCCAAACGTTAGATAGAAATGAAGCTAAAAATCTAGGCATACACAAGCATTTCCAAAATAACTGGCTGCATAGATCAAAGTCCACAGAGGCCCCACAGTCATGAGTGACAGAAAACACTGTCCATTTGAACTAAACTCCAGCATAAGACACTGCTAGCACACAAACAGTTCTGGTGACAGGAAGTACCACTGGCATTCTGAAAAAAGTCATTCTGGGGCTGGAAATCAAATGAGTACACATTTCTGAGCTCCCTCCTACACAAAACAAACATCACCTATAGTTTTTTTGTTGAGCTGCCTACAAAAGGTTTAGTAACTCCATATAAACCTTCATTCCAATACATTCAGGATTGTTACAGGAAACTGTCATTACAAGATCACTGAAATGAGGCCCTTCACACGCTGCATCCTCCTCTGTATTTGAAAGTACAGCATGTACAGCACTACTGCCCTCTTTCCAAACCAACCTTGGTTTACTGACTTAGAGGCATGGCACTATAGAGCAGTAACAAAACCCCACTTGACAAATGCCACAGCCACTTTGTTTCACTTTTGATCTCCAGCCCAGCCTAGCTACTTCTTCCCAGAAGACAACCTCTCTACAGCCAGAGGGGAACCAAGGTAAGGGAAAACCACCCGCAAAGACCCTACTTTTTCTTACCTTGTTGCAACCATGAACATAGCGCCAGCCCACATGTGTGCCCACGAACACACACACAGCTGATTCCCTAAACAGAAGCTTTCCAACTCAAAAATGCCCCAGTTTCAGCTTGTTACATCACAAAATGTACACTGTGACAAATCACATTTGAGAGAAAACAATCCCAAAATACTTCCATAGTGCTTCATTCCTCTAGTTCAAGAAAAAAGCACGCAAGGCTTGAGAGGCTTCTATAGCAGGGATTCCCTCCACACACGGATGAGACAGGTGGCCCAACAGCTGCAATTTCCAAAGACCATATCTCCTGAAGTGTCAATATTCCTTTAGCATTTCTTGCTCTATTTTTCAGCATCCTGCTTCTGATTTCATTTTCATTGTCATGTTTGATACTATGATTTTTTATATATCAGATGAGTCACAGCTCCTGTATTATTTATTTTAGCAATTTCTTTACACAAAAAGGCAGACTAGTTTTTTCTTTAAATCTCTCTTGTTTCTGCTATCAATTTCCTTTCCAATATGAGTTGTTCCAGGATTCATTCAAACCTGTCTTTCCAGGAATAATTATTTTCTTTTAGGAAGTTGATGTGGCAATGTAAGACGAGCAAATGAAATACTAAATTAAAATTCTATTTTCTTTAAAATCTACTAGAAGTGAAAATTGCTTAAGATCAACTAATACATAGGTGAATTAAATCTTAACCAAAGCTACTTTGGAAATTAGGCAGTCTCAGGTACATACCTGGCATTATCTACAAGTTCAGCAAGGGCACCAAACAAGAACTCATGGGTAGTTCTGCAATGAAACAGAAATCAGCAGAGTTACACCAACACTTAAAAAAAGAGACCTTCAAATAAACGAGAATCTCAACAATCTCAAGAGACATATTTAGTTTCCAGCCTCTTTAACTCCACCTCTTTTAAGCCACTCCCATGTGGAAGCCATTAGTTATATGCCTCAACATTGAAACAGATGGTGAGAAAAATTAAGCAGCTAATAAAAATCATTATAATACATTGTCTGTTGACATAAATGCCATATCTCCACTTCAAGACCAAGCTGGCAACCTAACTTCAAATCTAACAATTTTTTAAACATAGATGAACCACATTCACCATAAGGTTAACAGCAAAGATGTGGAGAAACAGCTGATAGAATTTGTTACTCCTCCAGGTTGTTCAATGAAGAGACTAAGACCTCAGAAACCAGTTTGATCAGCATGTTTCAGTTTGCACAAAACCCTCAAATACAGCCAACAGGTGACCAAGAAGAAATTTCTTCATATTTTCAGCCTTCCAAGAACAGACACACATAAAATATATAGCTGTCCACACTGTTAATAACCACAAAACACGCCTTCATAGCCATCTTCAGGGTGATCACACTGAACCCATCAACACAGCTCCAGTCAGAGGAAAACACATGAGGCTTTAAAGTTATCACTAAAACCATGGGAACAGAGATTTCCATATCTCCACTCTCCCGCAGAGACAAGACCAACGGGAACAGTGTTTGGAAGACTATCTATCCAAACAGAAAGCTTCCATAGAAACACAATCTTGGTATTCCTTCCTTTGAACAGGATTTCCGGCTGACGTGGTTTCAGCAGGGATACAGTTAATCTTCTTCTCAGTAGGTGTTAAGAGTTGTGTTCTGGATTTAGTGCGAGTATAATGTTGATAACACACTGATGTCTGGTACCAAGCCAAGCATACCCTAAGTCAAGGGCTTTTCAATGTCCTGCACTAGTCAGCTGGAGGGGAGCATGGTCAGGGCAGCTGACCCAAATCAGCCAGAGGAATATTCTGTACCACAGAATCTTCTGCTCAGTGTACAAACCAGGGGAGCTGGCCAAGAGGTGCCAATCACTCCTGGAGGACAGGGAGAGCATGGGTCAGTGGGTGCTGAGCAATTGTATTGAGCATCACTTGACTTTTGGGGTTTATTCCTCTCTCACTTTTTCCTATTATTATTATATGTTTCTTCCCTCCAGTATTTGAAAAGTTCTTATCTCAGCCCATGGTTTCAGCCTTGTACCATTCACCTCCCCATTCCGCTGGGGAGGTGAGTGAGCAGATATGTAAGATGATTACAGATTTCACGTGTTCTCTTGAGTTTACAAGTGTCTATTCAGCTCCACAGGTCAACATCACCGAAGTATATTTAGGAAGTGACCCACAAGCAAATGCATGCTCTAGCACTAGTAGCAATGCTTAAAGAGCACTTTTTACTCCACAATTTTAGGAACACTTCAAAGAAAAGATGCAAATAAGATACAAATAAGGATTTCCAAAGAAAGATGCTGAAACAAAACAATCGATAGCACAGCTATAGAAGACAAGAAAGGCAAAACAAAACATATTCACATAGCCCGACACTACTAAACTTGACCATCTTCCAAAACTGCAACCTCTTGTGCTGACACAAGCAAAGGGAAACCTTGCTACAAGCCAATGAAAATTCACTCCAGCTAGTTATCACTAACAGAAATGAATACATACTATAAAAGTCTTCTATTCAATTTATGAATTTGAACACACTTGTCAATATCTAACTTAAGTCAGATGAAGTGCTTTGGTCTGATTTAATCAGCTAATCTCAAACAAACCCATTGGTCTTGCCTTACAGTCAAAAGTGCCTGAAATATTTCACATCCATCATCATCAACCAGTGACCATTTCTCACATCTCCTCAAAAAAGTTTAGGATTATTTTACTTGCAGCACAACTTTAAAAAAACAAGACAAACTGTTGGCAAAATAAAGCCTATCAGAGCTTGCTAGCAACCTGCAAACACAGTGAGCTTATTTTAGATAGGCATCATCAGAGGCAACAACAACCTGCATCAGAGTACCCAAAATACAACTATTACTGCCGTACAATGGGTGAAACAACATATAGAAGGGAGGTAAGGAGTATCAAAATCCATAAAGTCAACAACAGCTCATCTGGGTAGACAAAGACTGGCCTGGATCATCCCACAATGTGCACTTCCCTTTGAGCCAGCTCCATGCAGAACTGGAGGCTTGATAAGGAATCTAAAAGGGGAATCCAACATTGGCAATTTATTGAAACATAGGTAACAAAAGGTCAAGTTAGATGGCTCTAATACATTACTAACTTCAAACGCCTCTACAAAGAATCATTTGGAGTAATGTCCCAAGGGAAGAAAAATTTGTTTTGTTCCTGCAGGAACTTCCAGCTTGAACCTAAGTGGACTCCAGATCCTGCAGACAAGTACCTAATTACTAATGAGAGACTCAAGACTTCACTTTTCTTCTGAAGGAAAGCACATCTGGGAAAATGCTTTATTTTGGCACATGCATCAGGAAAAACAGACATTCTCTAAATAATGCACTCTGTTTCAGGCCAAAATAGACAAAAAGCACAAGAAGAAGAGGGAATTTGGTGGAGGGGGGTAGGGACATATTGTTGGTCTGTTATTACTAGTTTTTCTCAAGTCCATCATTTAGTCATCTTGAAGTCTATTCGAGTGACTTTCTTCGACTCCAACTGTATTCACCAGGACAATTCTAGCTACACAACAACACACAAGTTGCAAACTAAAGGCTACCTACTGTTAGAAGACAATCACAGGTCCTCAACTTTTAACAAAATAATTCAATTTTTTATTATAAATATTCAAAATATGCTAATATAAATTGTCTGGTCACTGTTATATTTTTGGCATCATCTCAATGAATAACTTTGGAAGTGTCTTAATATAAACATTTAATTGTTATAGAAAACCAATGTAAAGGAAAGCAGATGACACTGGAAAGTCATAAAACAATGCACATGCAATTTTCATGTGCTTATGCACACTGATTTTCATTCTAGGATTTAAAAGAATTTTAACATAGAAACATATGGGTTGAAAAAGACTTTTAAAGGTCATCTAGTCCAACTTACAGCCATGGGCAGGAAAACCTTCCACTAGGCCAAGTAGCTCCAAGCCCCATCTAACCTGGTCTTGGACATTCTGAGGGACGAGGCAGCCACAGCTTCTCTAGGCACCCTGTTCCAGGGCCTCCCCACCCACACAGGGAAGAACATCTTCCTTCTATCTAGTGTGACTCTACACTCTTAGGCTAAAGCCATTGCCCTCTGTCTCATCACTTTGGAACCTAATAAAAAGTCTGTCTTCACTCAACTATTCAAGGAAGCTGGAAAAGCACAGTGATATTTTTACTTTTAAAAAATATGGCAACTGAATCTATTCATGTAGATGCTGGAGGCTCAACTCCACGTCCCATCAGACATGTAAGCATTAAGCTGCTATTGGCAAGATCTGCTGCAGTTCCTCAAGCTCAGGGACCTGATCAACTGTCTCCTGTAAAGCATTTCAAACTGAGTGCTCCGAGTCAGACATATGGAATTTTTTCTGAAAGAAGGTCTTAAAAGGGAAGGAGAAAAAAAAAATTTAAAAAAGCATGGTTTTCCTCTGCACCCTAGCAGCCAGATGGTTGGTCTTTCACTGCAATTTAAAGAATTTAAAAATTTTCCACCTCCTTTACTATGAGAATACACTTAGCACTGAACTAGAACTTAGCTAAGATGTGACGGTGTTCCTCAGCAAGAGAGAAGTCCAGAGGAGACCAGTCTCCTCTATCAAAATCTCTATACTGGCCTAGGGTTGATTTGGGGATTAGCTTGTTTTCTTTTTTGCTCATTTTTTTCTGGAGGAGCAGGAAAGGTTGTTTGTTATGGGTCAGTTTGCTGCTTTCTTAGTTTTTATAATGACTTCCATTACTCCTATTGCCATTCTTAGGGAAGCATTTCACTTATGCACTGATTCCCACAACCTCAAAAGGCTCTTTGCTCATGATGGACAAGGAGCTCTGGCTTTGGCTTATCCAAGCGTTGGCTTCCAGCTCTTTCCAAGAATTCGGTAATGCAGGTATCACTGCAGACATGCAGCACACCACAAGCAGACAGTAGCGTAAGCACAATGGCAACGTGAAGGACTTTTAATATACTTGACAACAGCAGCAACAACTCAGTCTTTAGCACAGGCTTTATCTTCTTATGAAGATGGACAGAGTTCTGGAGCTTTGCAGGCAAACACAAGCTGCTGAAAGAGCATTGCCATCATCTGCACAGTCTTCTTATCCACAAAAAAAAGATTGTCTTCTGGAGCTGGACATGAGAATTTCACAAATCAACAACAGCACCACAACATGACTCAGTACTGTCTATCTTCAGGCACCAGATTGTTCACTTCATATGCAACTGCTACCAGCCAAGCTAAAGAGCAGACCCAAAACTGACATGGAGCCATTACTAAGTTTATTTCCCTGTTCAAAGCCCATTACTTTCCTGATTCTGAAAATAAATGGATTGTAATGGTCTTGGTATATGTGAGATTAGTCTTAACTGCTCTTGCATTGCTCTTGTAGATGTATCTCACTACCAACAAAACCAACCAGACAAAAATCCTTTGAAACCAAGTTGCCCATGTTTCTGCGCCATCTTTAGACTGCTGTAGACCACTGATCATTCACATGCTGAAAAGGAAAACAAAAAGATAAGCCTGCACTTTATTTATTCTTCTATTGATAGACAGTAAGTCAACTCTTCCACAGAACATCAGCGGACAATCTTCACCGGTGACCAGCTGATCCAAATGAAGCAATGCCAAGTGGCTCCACAGAGTTCTTCCAGTTCGGGCAGAACGAGCTCTTCCGTCTCCTCTATACTTGCCATTACAAGGCTCAGGAGCAGCAGGCAGTCTTGATGGGTGCCTGACCCCACTTAAGTGTTGCTCCCTGATGGTGCTCCTCATTTTCTAGACATGCACCCACAAGAAACTTATCTTCAATAATGGCTTTGTCTCTTCTCAAGAGGCGTTATTTTGGGGGATTCACTGGTGACATGCAAAAAAATCTGACTGGAAAAAGAGTACCATAATCCTGTTAGTCTCAACAAAGCCAGATGCTACAGAGGGATGGTGGCTGGCACGACAGCGCACACACACTGGTCCGCAGAGGTCGACCGTGCGGGTTTGGTTGCCCAAGGTGACTCCTTGTTCCTCCCAGGGCCTCTTGTCCCCATGCACCAGCTCTCCGTGACCCGTGGACCTGCCCGCGGTACAAAAGCCGGTCCCCGGAAGGACCACGAAG